ACTGTATTATGTATTGCTTTTTGTTATAAACACATTGACACATTAAATGTTATAAAGTTATAAATCTGTCTGTATTCATCTAGATAGGTGTCTCATCTCAGACAAACTAAACCGGCTCCTAAAAACATACGCTCTATGTTCAATGCATTGCAGTCAGGTGTGTGGCTCGGTACTGTGTGATATACGCTAAATCCCAACACACACCTGAAAGGTCCCTTGCGGAGGCACTAATGCAGTACCATTATTATGCCATTTCTGCCATTGGACAATTGTGGATGTAAAGAATACACAATTTTTTACTCATAATTTCAAATATTATATCAGAATCAACGTGCATCAGTTTGTTTTTTCAACCTCAAAGAGGTGAGAACACAACCATGTCACTGGAAATGCATCAGTTGTTATGTTGCAACATGTTGCATGCTCAGTTTGCACCTCCAGCTATCTTTAACTTTCCTTCCTCTGTTTGTACCTTCAAAAACATGTTATATTAACATTAAGTTACATTAACATTAATATATATATATATATATATATATATATATAAGTAAAAAAGTGTCATGTGATGTATTCAATAAAGTTATATCTAAATATGTTGATATATTTAATTCATCTAAATAAGAAAACTTCCCATGTTAAACTAGCTGAGCTATGATTTTTTCTGTTAACGTCTATTTGATTTCTTTCCTTTTGCATTCACGTCGGTAACATCAGAGATTTTAAGCTGTGGAAGTATTTAGGTGTATATTTGCTTGTGTGTGGATCCAGGTAGCTCATCTGGCAGAGTGCCTCCTTACTGCAGCAACCTGGATTTGAAATAGACCCAATTCCCTTTGGTGAATTTCCTCCATCCAATTATATCATAATAAATATTTTCATAAAAAAATAAAAATACATTGGCCTTTTCGCGCTGTAATTTCAATTAGGTCATTTATATGGTTTTATTTTTGTGGACGTTGGAATTCAGTAATCGTTGCCATTTTTCTTCATCATTTCAGTTTTAAATAATCGTTCCATGAGAATGAAATGAAGCCCTTTTTTTAAAAGTATTTTTGGATCTGCCGGCAGACACACACATTTGGACAAAATTGTTTTCACAGACCACATAGTTCTCATGCTGAGTAAATGGCTTCCTGTTTAAAATGTTTATATTATTATAAAAAGTTTGGCATCAAAGACAACGTGGACAATGCACAAAATGTGAGAACAGAGGCGTCTGTAGGGATCCAAAGATCACACAGGCCAGTGAACCGCTCTCAATAGAAAAGTATTTAAATGTTCTTATGTTAACAAACTCTTGATATTTAAAATTAAATGCCCAATTTTTTTTTAAACTAATGACACAAAAAGGGATGACATCATACCTTCTAGCGGCTGTCTATTAGAAACTCAATAACTTATTGCTTTATAAGAAGAAAAGAATTAACTGCAGCTGCCCTTCTCTTGGCATTGTTCTGCAGACTGTGTGTCAATGTGTGGAAAGAAAGCAGCGTTATATGGTTGAGCGGAAGTGGTGACGCCAACGGACAGAATGAATGAAAGACCCTGGCAGAAAAAGGGAGGGAGCTTACGAAGACAAAGAACATGTGATGTAGGAACGGAGCACGAGCATCTTTGTCGGTGAAAATTGGGCACTCTTTGAAGGATACTGCTGCTTTTGTGACTGCACGTGTGAGAAATACATGCGGCATTCAAATGAGAAACGTTTTCCTTTCCTACAAAACAATACGACATGCTGCTTCACTTTCCCAAAGTACACGATCTGGTTTTCTGTGTTATTCACCGGTTATGTGACTTGCTTACTTCAGAGTCCGTCAAGTATCTGCATCTGTCTTTTACTGCATCCTCCTGACTTTGTTGTACCTCCTCATTAGTGTCGCCCATAGCGCAAACACCCCGAGCATCCAAGTTGTGTTGTGTTTTCTCTAATGAGATGAACCGTGAACGGTACACAAGCCTTTCCCCCCTCACTGAGCAGCCTGATCTCCAAAACCTGTTCGTAAAAATGTATAAATTCGTAGTGATACATACTAAATAAATACGGACTGCAACTCATGACGTCACCCTATTCAAAGTGAATGGGGACCTGCACCCCGTAAACACACTTTGTGTAGTCTAACGATGTAAAATAAACGTGTTATGATTGAATTTTTGACGGGAAATCAATGTTAACTTGTAAGAATAGAATACTAACCCTAACCCCCTCAAAAAATCCAACATGGCGGAGAGACGTTCACTCAAGAATCCAACATGGTCCGCCATGTTGTTCACTCAAGGGCCGTGGTTAACCACCGCAAGTTCGTATGTATTGTTACGAATTTGTATGTTCAAGATTTTCGTACACATTTTTACGAACAGGTTTTGGAGATCACGTTGCACTGAGTGACCTTATTAGACCGCCGGCACTCCAGGGTATTAAATGAAGAGAAGAAAATGTGTTTGAGCCTATTTGAATTATGCGGGGGCTGCAGTTCAATAACAGGAAGGCATCACCTTTTGTTTAATCACTGCGTTACACGACAGAGAAAAGAGGGTTGTTACCTTAGCAACAGACACACCTCTTGTATAGTCTCCCGTCACCCTCACTAACATGCTCTCCAACCTGCAATCAACAGTGTTGATGCTGTGCGAGACAGATTTGTGCGGCAGCACCTGCGTCAATGAATCCTGTAGACTAGTTTACACCCGCTGATTGAAAGTGCGATCCCTTTATCTAAGGTTGTCCCACAGAGAGGAAGACATGGGCACTGCGTGGTAGTCGGTGCAGTGACGCACAGCCCAGTTGGTATCTTCCAGCAAGGAGTTTTTTACAGCGAGGGACAGCAGGATAAAGACGGAGGGACAGATGTGCATCAGCTACCCAAGGCGGATGTGCTGGAGTGGGTGCGGCCCGGGGAAGCCTCTGTTATATCTGTGTGTGGGGATTACACAAAGCAGACGGAGCGGTCGTCCCACTCATTGAGGAGACACAGTGCCTACACAGCACCGGCTGTGTGGGTGACTGGCACAACACCGATTGACTGACACTCAGCAATGGCATTTCGACAAAGTTGCGACGAAAAGCAAGAACATACTTGCACATGCAGCTGGTGCTGTGGGTGTGTGCAAAGGAGAGGCCTGTGAGGTGTTGGTCCCGGATGGCTAGTGGGCACGCAAGCTCGTCCACAAGTCCAGATAAGGACAAAGCAGTAGGTTTGAGGGAACAACAACACACACAGTGTAATGATTCTCCTCAATTACTCATTTGTTTATGATGCCTATGGCTCATTTGGCTTCATACAAAATTAGGCTTGCATGTACAAGTGTGTGTAATGTGACTATTTCTGAGCCGCCTGCGTGTGATACAGTTTTATGAATGGGAGCGCTTTTGTTGTGTACCTCATTGTGAATATCAACCTGAGCAGCATTTACCATTTATTTTCAATGTCAGACAGAAATATTCTCCATTTTTGACGATGGCTTTTTTCTCCTCTTAGTATTGCTTGTCTAACTAATTAAAATGCTCTTAGGAAACTGTTCCCTATAGCATCTATAGCTTTGCGTAGCTCCTTCTGTGGCTCTTTGCCTTAGCTGCTTGTCAAACACTTTACAGACATTACAAGAGCAAACGGACCAATAATCGATACAAGCTAATGAGTCATACATTAAGCAGAAGGAAACGGGAGAAACCAAACATGTGCAAAACAAAGAGCACCATTTTGGAGAGGCCTTAAAAGCTGATCCCATTTTGAAAGCCTCCCTAAGGCTCTTTATATATTTCTCAGAGCGTATTCTTTACTTTATTTTAGTCAGCATACTGAGGTTCCTCATGTCAGTCCTTTTTACTGACCTTTTTCTTTTGCTATTATAGCACTACTAATTACTGGTCACTGCATGGGTAATAGAACAAAATATGCACAAGAGACATGGAAACATCCAGAATTGCAAATAATACAAACTGTGATTTTTTTTTTCTTGTATTAAACTTAAGTGCTTCTAATATTTTGTCCAATTTGCTTACATTGATGGAAGTGAAAGTTTTCAGAATTAATGAAAGCAAACAACGTTTCCGGTTCAATACAATTCAAAGTTTCATGAAATTAGTTCAAATAACAGGGCTGTTGCCTTGGATTACATTTCACTCATTAGCTAAGTACTTCACATTGCATTCAGTCAACAAAAAGGCCAACTACCAAGTAGTATTTATCACACTTTACTTCTTGTCAAAGTGGCTGTCTGGTGGTTTGACAAGAGCAACGACAGCTTGAGGCACAGACAGAAAACAACAGACTTGAAGTGCTGTGCATCTGTTGTGTTTTGCTGTCTTTCTGCTTTCTGGCTCAATTACTAAGCCATTTCACCCATTTTAAACCTAATTAACAATAGTTAAGCAGGGTAATAAAACCAGAGAAATATGCTTTCAGTCCCTGGGTTAAAAGTTATCCCAATCTAATGAAATGGTTGAAAAAATCACATTCTCATCCAACCACTCTTGCTTTTTAAGCCACCTGAATCTAATCATCAAAAAATTATGTCATTATACAAACGGCGAAATTGGTCAAGTACCAACAAACAAAGACCACTTAATCACAGTTGCTTTGATTGACTCTCCTCTGGCACTCCCCCTTTCCAATGTGGTTGACTCATAATTTGGGGGCATCCTGCTTTCCGAGGCAAACACTCTAGGCCCATTTTCTGAATCCTTCTGTCAGCATCGCGCCGGAAGCGGGCCATAACAGTCTGCGCGAACAAGCCAGGAATGGAGCTGTGCGCTCTTCTCCTACCCGTTCTCTGCTCCTCCACAGAGTCATCGTTACCGGGCCACGTGCCTCCCCCCCTTCTTCACCCTCCCGTTTCTGATTCTACTGTCACTCGCTCCCCCTCCCTCCCTCTTCATCCTATGTGCGTCGAGAAAATCTCCTCCACTCACAGTTTGAGCGCACGTCTCCAACCAATCTTTACGAGCGTAAAAACTCCCCACCAAGAGAATCCCCTGCGGTCGGCCCTCCCCTTTGCGTTTTTTTTTTACCGCCCTCATTCATTCATTCATGACCCCGAATCGATGACGTAGGAGATTCCTCCGTGCCCACTGCCGTAGGCAATACCGGGTTTTATGAGTATAAATGGGACACAGGTACCCAACAACGGGCACACTCTCAGTCGCTCCGACTCGGGAACCAGGGCATCAGCGGAGATAGCAGGCTTTACTTTGGCTCTTAGGCTAACTCGCTTTGGGCTTTGGTTCAGGATGGACACCTCTTCGATTACTCGGAGCCGACGATCCTCTATCATGCGAAACTGCAAAAGTAAGTTTGCCTTTTTCTTCTTTGGTTTTTGAGACATGGACGCCAAAGACTATACTGTAATGCTTTTGAACTTTTGAAACAAATTCCAAACGTTTAGTCAAAGAAAGCTTGCTAAAGATAAATCTGACATCGATTGAATTGATGATAGAAATTGGAGAGGGGGGCACATTTAAAACTCAAATGGTTTAATGGTGAAGTGGCATATAACACGGGCTTTGTATTTAAGCAATGAAATAGCCTCTAAGTTTAGACTCTTTCGTGATTATGCTGTGCGTAAAAGTCGGTGCGTAAAAGTGAGGCATAAACCTCACCTCAAATCATGTACCAACAGAAAGCCGTCAATTGTAGACATGTGAGATGTAATACTGCACTGGAATTACATCTCACATGTCTACACTTGACGGCTTTGGCTATACGGGTTTGCATTCACTGTGCCGGCGTAACGCAAATGAAAGGGATTTTTTTCAGCACCTCGGACAGGGCACCCGCTCACCTCTCTCTCGTCTCTCCCTGCTCTCCTTCAGGCGGTCTCTCCCTCTGGCTGGTGGTGTGGCTGGTCCTCGGCAAGCCAAGTCCGGCATCGGCGTGCCCGCATCTGTGCGTGTGCTACCCGACGCCCGTGACCGTGAGCTGCCAGGCGCAGAACTTCACCACCGTCCCAGTCGGAGTGCCCTATGAGTCGCAGCGCGTATTCCTCCAGAACAACCGGATCACTGAGCTTAGAGTCGGTTCTTTTGGCTTCGGGACTCAGGTAAGAGGGACTGTGGAAAACGACTTTGGCAGGAGAGATGTGAAGCTAAACGTTTAGGCAATATTTATTTCAGTTAGATTTTTAAATGTTCCGCACTTAATATCCACGAAGAAGAGTGATCATCGCTGAAGTCATGTGTTTATTTGCATCAGGTCCTGTGGCTGTTCTCCAACAACATCACGTGGATTGAGGCAGGGGCATTTAGTGAGCTGAGGGACTTGGAGGAGTTGGACTTGGGGCACAATCCCAGCCTCCACAGGCTGGAGGGGGGAGCCTTCCGTGGACTAGAGAAGCTCCAGAGCCTCCACATGCATCGGTGCCGACTTAATGCCCTGCCCCATGACATCTTCCATAATCTTTACAGCCTGCAGTTCCTCTACCTACAGGTAGGGGCGCTGGAGAGACATACAAAGCATGAACCGAAACACGTGTAACCACCCACAGATACACACATTGACAAACGTCCAGTGCCAAATATTACAAATCTCCATGTGTCTGTTTTTTCATGCTAAAACCCTTTCCTCTTTTAAACTTCTTCCTCAGGAGAATAATCTTCACTTCCTCCAGGACGACATCTTCTCCGACCTTATCAACCTGAGCCAGCTTGTTCTGCATGGCAACCGTATCCGCACCCTGTCAGAAAACGTATTCCGTGGACTGGTCAACCTGGACCGCCTTTTTCTTCACGACAACCGCATCAGGCAGGTGAACCGCCGCGCCTTTCGCGACCTTGGTCGCCTGACCATGCTGTTCCTCTTCAATAACTCCCTGGCTGAGCTGCCGAGCCAGACCTTGAGAGACACTCAGGGCATTGAGTTCCTCCGCCTGAACGGCAACCCCTGGTCCTGCGGCTGCGAGGCCCGCGCCCTGTGGGAGTGGTTCCGTGAGGCCCGTGTCTCTTCGTCCGAGATGATCTGCGCCTCTCCTTCCAACCGCCGCAGCCAGGACCTCCGCTTCCTGCGGGAGATGGATTTCGCCCTTTGCCCCCTGCCAGACCCCGGCTCCATCGCTGGCTCCACCACCACCACCTTCAGCACCAAAACCCGCTGGTGGTTCCACAAGAACAAGCCCCAGTCATCAACAAAAGGTCTCTTTGAAAAATCCTCCGAGACCGTCAAAGCTGGTTTGTACGGGAAAAGGCCCATCCCAAAACCACCTCGGTAGAAAAAGTATGAGCTGGGGGAGGAAGAGCTGGCGCTGCCCAAACTCGACGCAGAAGAGTACTGGGAAAACTACGGCAATGAGGACTCAGGTGTCACCCTGCGATGTGTCGAGCTTGAGTGCCCACCTGAGTTCGACCTGCCTCCATCTTCCTCCTCTCCCTCGTCCTCCTCCTCGCCGTCTTTCCTCACACTACTGGCCCCCTCTGTTTTCTGCCTCTGCCAGAACCTCCACCTGTTGTTTGGTTGAATTTAACTGTTAGTACAACTCCTCTTGCAGCCTGTTTTAAAGGCTGCGAGGACACCTGTTTGACTCTTAAGCCCCCTTTGCCCGCTTTGCTGTAAGCCAATTCTTAAGGCACAGCGAGGGAGATGGGGGGACGGTAAGATTCTGAATCTACCACCTAGAGGGTGTAACACCTTTCAGGGCTGGTAAGATTTTTTTCAGCTAAGCTCATATACATCTACAGTACTCTACAGGTATGGCTTTCTGTGTCTCACCTGTATGGTGTCACGTTATGATTCCCTGCAATCAGGGCTATGAGGGCGGAGTCCATCACTAGTTTCAGTGCAGTTTGATAGCAGTTGTGAATGACGTTGTGAATTTTGTCACTTCAACTTAGTTCTAAGTACTATTGCTATTATTGCATCAAATTAACTGGCTGCTAATTCAATTACTGTTAGAATCAGAGCACAGTAATGAGAATACTGTAACCACTTAAAGTGTCATGTAAAATGTTCTTTTGTATCGGTGGTTCACTACAATCACTTCCATCTTCACACATCTTCTACAGGACAGAGCACAGTGAGATGAGACAGAAGAGAAGCCAATATGCTGTGATAGTGGGAGGGAGAGGAAAAAGAGGACTGCAGGAGAGACGTCAGCAAATATAGGTAGAGGGAAAGGAAAGGGAAGGGTTATTCCAAGAACTAGCAATAGAAAGAGGAAGAGACAGAAGGAGAGAGAGGAGGGGGGGGGGGGGAAGTGTTCATGCAGCAATAAGAAGAGAGGCAGTTGAAATACAGCACGAGGCTGAGAGGACAGTGCTGGCACTTGAAGCAGCAATTTGCAGGAGATAAGTAATAAATCCACTCATCTGCGGGTTGTGACATCCAACCACCTCACACCACAGCACCATTCTTTGTAAACGTGGTTTTGTTCGAGGCAACCACGGGGAAAGAATGCTTCCGATCAGGAAGTCAGTGATTGCTTTTTTGGGATGTCTTTTTGTGACATTTTGATATGCTACTGTGTAAAGATTGTTGACTTGGATGCAGATGATGATCTTGATAAAAAATTATACACAACATTTCCTGTATCATGGTTTTCTTTGGGAAAATATCTGCTGAACTTAACTAAAAAAGATTTCTTTTCACACGGCCATCTTAAACAATGTTACCTTTAGGCAAAATTAAATAGCGAATGCGGGACAAAACAACTGAAAACAAAAAACAGTCAGAATGGCTCCTACTCTGATGCGTATCTGTCTTTGTGTGTCCATATGAATGGATTCACAAGCTAACACCTCTGCGGAGAGCAAATACGTCACTAAGTTTGTCACTCAACCGACTCATCGGTGGGCGATGCCAGATGGACAGACGATGGAAATTGACTGATTTGTAAATTCACTAAGAGAGCAAGAGTCTGGTGATGGATGGAGCCGGAGAGAACAGGAGGCAAATTAAGACTTGAAACGCTGCCATGCAGACACCTAGCAGAGAATCAGTTAATGTAGAGACTTTAAAAAATAAGGAGAAGAAGCGTTTAGAGCGAGCGAGCTCCGGAAATAGTGTGAAAAAAGGGAGGAGGGGGAAGTGACCAAATATAGGCATGCTCTCCTTTAGCATTGGTTATTAATCTGTGCCCATGTTGTCTGTTAGGAAGCAAGGAGTATGGCAACTCCGCTTCTGTTTTCTCCTTCTATATGCACAGTGTTTTCTAAGGCCTCGTCCACCACTCAAGGTCGCACATAGGATGGAAGAGATGGTCCTTCGCTGCAATAGAGGCGAGGGCCGTAAGGCCGAGATGTCGTAGGAATGAAAGAGTAGGAGGTAATGTGAGAAGTGTACACGCACACACAAAGCCAGTTAACCTTGCTCCAAGAGCAACAACCTCACACAATCTTTTAACTCAATCTGATTGAGAGGGGAAAATAACTGAGTATGATAAGGGACAGTTTGTGTGTCATGCTGTTTAGTCTCTCTGAGTTTTGGCGAGACGGTCAAACTGACCTTGGGTGCTCTTCAGTGGCCATGACGTTTTCCCCGTTCAGCTCATGTTTTGTAAGTAATAAGACGGATTGGCTCATTTGATGTTTATTCTTTTGTCATCGCTTCATTAAGAAAGAATACATTTACAGACGAATACAGACACACGTCTTGGCGAGCGTCCAGTGAAACCAATCACAGCACAGATACACCCTCCACACAAACACACACACACCCACGCGCACAAACTTGCACATGAATACATACATGCGTGGACAGGCATGTGCCATTGTGTAAGTCTTCCAGGCAGTTATCCAGCTTTCTCAACTGTGAAACTGATGAGCGGAGAAAAAAAAGAGAACAGGAAGTGTGGAGTTGAAAACTGTACAAAAACTGTTTATCATATGGACTAATATAATGTATTCAGGAGAAAACAGTTCAAATGAAAACTGTTTGTGTTTTGTTGATATTTTTGGTAAATGTGAAAATCTTTTGTAGTAATTTACCAGGTAGGCAAATTTGCAAACACATGCAAAAGTTTGTTTTTACAGGCAAAGGAAGAGAGATGCTTTTCACAAAATGAAAAGAACATGTTAAAATATGTAATGTTCTCTTTTTCAAACAGTATGTCGGTACCAGACTTCACTCTGAGCAGACGGACGACAAAGCCAACGGAAAGCTGTTACATACAAAAGTCACAGACTCACACTGCAAACACAAACGCAAACACATGCACGGATCACACAGTGTAGCAAGGAGCTCACATGATGGACTCAGCTTGTCGTGCCTATATAAGGAATGAAACAAGCGCATCCGACAGCTCATCCGTCTCATTCCAATCGGCCTCCAAGCTTTTGTATGGCAGAAAAATTCCATGACGCACCTTCTTCGTCTGTAAACTGTGGATTTGATTGGAGAAATTCCATGTCACTTAACAATCAGACGGTCGGGGGCGGGATGTGAACATGTATATCAAAGCTACAGTATGCTGAAGAGATGAATATGAATGATTCCCAATTTATTCACATGAGACGTAACCCAAAAAAGATGGGCAAGGCGCTGCTGGTTGCTCCGAGTTTGTTCAAATGCGTCACTACTTTGTCACAGCTTGAATCCTCACGCTGCTCGCTCAGATACATTCCCCATCGTGCAAACAACTTCTCACCCAAGAAAGCACATACGCAATTTGCATGTCACCCTGTTATGTGTTGGGTATTTGATTTTTGCATCTCCTTTCCTTTGTGTCACCGTGCTTCTGCTTTCACACATTCCCTCTTTCTCTGAAGCGCCCTTGACGTCAGGCCCTCGCGCTCCACAAATTTTCAGTCCGTCTCTCTGACAATATATCCTCCAATATGAGGCCATCTGTTTCATTGATTTTCATTCACTAATTCACAGAGGAAACTGAATAGATGTCACTTTTAATCTCCCACCCATACATTTCCTGTTCTGTTCATGATTGTTTTCTATATATATTTTTTTGTCATTTTCTTTTTTTCTGCAATAAAAAAAGGGCCCTCAGTGCGCTTATTATTTTACTTATTTTGGTCTTCAAAGTGGGTAGGATCAAAAATATTTTCCATATCAAAGAGATGAGAGCAGAAGGTTAGTTGTTGCAACTATCCAGCATAAGCGAACCACTTGTGATGCGGTACACATTCATGGAACACAGTCGTAGTTATTTCTTAGATATGAAGGATACAGGTGAAAGGACCCATCAAAAGCCTCGTTCTCATTCATACACGGACAGAGCAAGGTGTATGGTGCTTTGCTCCCAGGGCTACCAGAAGAAATGTCTCAGCTGTGACTCAAATGTCCCTTTCCCAATTTAAGTTTTGTATATTTGTGTTGGAAACAATATTTTTGGGCCCCACGGCATTACGTGTTGGACCTTTAAATTGTAATTCCGCCGTTTGGCTACGATGTCAAATGTGCTTTTATGCCCGGTCCTCTTCCTCCGGGCTTGGACTCACTAGAACTTCCTGTCGGCCTGTTTTACTGTAGATCATACAGCATACAATATTAGTTATACACTGTGTGTTTATGTGCTTAAAAAGAAATTATATACTAAGCATGCACACATGTACACTGACCAAAACACCATCTTGGATCTTTAACTTATCTTAGCTTAGCTTATATTTGAACATGTCATTTTTCAAAACAATACATCGTTTGGACACAATAGGATTGTTTTAAGAATCGTGAAAGCTAAACACTCCAAGAATGTAAAACATGCATTATGCAAGCGGGTTTGGTTTTTACACTCTATGGTGATACCTGGTGCCGTGTGTGATGATTCTTACGTTACCCACCCTAGATACCCATGCACAATCACATCAAAGGCCATTTACCTTTTTTTTGCAAAAAGTCATTAATGCCGATATTGGATGGAAAACTGTTGACAGAATGCGCTGAAAATGAGTATTTGTGTGAATGTGAGGGAGACAGAAAGAAGGCAGCAGAAGAGGTGTGACGTCTGAGTCATGTACTTGGATCTCTTTGCAGGCGAGAACATTTGGAAGGCTTAAGTGTGCACGCGCACACACACGTGCAAACGCACTCTCCTTGGCAGCCTGCGGCGTTGCTGGTATCGTTATGCCTCGAGAAAGGCCCACTGGGAGACAGACGTTCCTCAGTGCATCACGAAAGCGGGATCCACGCACGTTTGTCCTCCTCCCTTTACATTCACTGAACAAAATAATCTTACTTGCAAAAGACTCGTCACTTTTTCTCAAACCAGGTGGCCTGAAGACATGTGAATGTTTTCCAATACATAAAGGTATTTTCATTTCAGTGTATATTTGAATACATCATAAACTCTGCTGTGATCCTAACCCCCCCACACCTAAATATATGAATTTATACGTCTACCCTTTTACAGAATTAATTATTGTATTCAAGAAAAGCAATTTGGACTTCCAGGTTCCTTGTGGTAATGTGAAGTTTTCCCCGCTGAGGCCCTATTGCACGGCCACAGTTCATTTGAAAATGAACTCATGTATTTGGAAATCAACTCTTGTGACACAAATATTGTTTTTGAGGAAGCAGTGGTTTGTGCCACAGTAAATTGTTGGCTTGACCGATCTTAACACTGAGAGGGAGGACAAGACTGATCTCTCTTAAATAACGACACAACACCGATACATTAATCCTCCAACCAGCAGTCCCCACTCCTCTGTGTACTAATTTCCATCTGTGTCCACTGGTTAAAAACTGTTGCACACCAACTACGTCACAAGCCACAAACAGTTACTGCGCCCTTCGTTTTCGCTGTCTTCAAGCTGCCCAGGTTTTTTGGACTCACATGGAGCATTAGCACCTGTTTTCTCCTCATCCCGCCTCTTTCTTGCATTACGCAACACAGAATGAAACAGAGTACACCTCCTTCTCGTTCTCTCTTCAGCTTCCTCTTTTCTTACTTGTTCTTGCTTCTCTTTCTCCTCCTCCGCCAGTCGTCCTCGGCTACGTTCAGCTCTGTTCTCTTTGAACACTGACTGGCTGCGTCACAGAGACGTCTCCTCAGGCAGCAGTCATCCACTACTCATCTTTCTACTGTACTCATTTCGTCATATTTGATTAATAAACAATAAAAGCAACACACAAAATATTCAGTCATTTGTAACCCAATTGTTTCCAAAAGATATAAGAGAAGTCATTGTTTGAAATTGTCACAAGTAAATCTCAAATCTTTGCACTTTATTTCCAAAAGCGTTTTAATTCAAGCGTTTTCATTTTTTGACAAAATGTGCAATAAACACATTAAATCACATTACATACAATTGATTACATGGACTGTGCATACAAAATAATTTGCTAGCATGTTAGCTTGTAAAAACTTTAGTCTGTGTAAACATGAACTGGAAGACCTGGTTTTGTTGAGCCCGACTGTCTACACAAAAAACACACACGCGCACACAAACCTACTCGCACAAACCCTCTACATGCAACACGGATTGTATAATACATGTACGGTACCGTTCAAAAGGACAAACTGTACTTTCCTATTCAATTGAAGACCGGCTTCCATTTTGTGTTTCAAACATTCACAACAAGTGAATCGATTCTCATGCTGTTGATAATGTGGCCTGGTATAGAAATACACATAGAGCAGACATGCCAATGAGCTCTAAAACCAATTGTTTTGCTGTATCCTAAACTGCTATAAAAGGAAGTAACAGTATGTTTAAAATGGTTTTAAATGCAACACAATGAAATAATGTTATGTCCATTTGACTCTCAGAGGTTCACAGAGTTCATCCTATTTCTGATGTTGTCTGTGGTTGAAGTTGTTTACAGAAAAGTGTGTAGGAGGAACATTTTTATATCTAGGTAAATTAGTGAAATCATTATAGGTTGTTGCCATGTATTACCACAGAAAGTATAAGCATCTCTAACAAATAATTGTTTGGATGGAAGAAAAGGTGTATGTAATAGTTCACAGAGCTCAGATCAGTGAGTTACGAATCACTTGTGGCTGAATAACCCGACGTGTGTTTTTTTTCCGGCGTGTTGTTTGTTGGAATCTTTGTCTTTAGTCGGCTGAAGTTAGTTTTCAATAATTTTTTGTAACTCAACATATTTCTTGGATCCTGGCTCAACCCAGCATTACTGCCACAAGAAGGGAGGCTTGAGTACTGATGACTATGCTGCTATTTCGCATGATGTTATATTAATATGAAACCGCAAGTGGACCCCCAAAGACTTCATTGATTGCTTGTCTTCTAATACAATGTGCTGGAGTCAAAACTATAGCAAACATATCACTGTGTATTATTATCATTTGTTGACGGTAACTGATGGTCACCTGAAGCAAGAGCTGCAGCAGCAAACACGACTTTACCAGAGGCATCCAGGACAAAGGCCCCCAAAAACGTGGAGCCCACTCAGTCCAGACCCTTCTGGATTTGACTCAGTGCAGCTCTCGCTAACAACTATAACAAGGACAGTTGTTTCCCTGCAGTGTAAGTGAGAGGACTGCCTCTTCTCTGAACAGGCTATGAACCTGGCTCTTGTCCAGTTCTCTCTTCCTTTCCAGGCAGAGCAGAGAAATTAACATTACTGACTGAAATCTTAAACGGCTTCAACGAGTTCGATGCCTCCGGAACCGCCTGGGGACACGGCTTTGCTTTGGAGTTTTATTGAATAGACACTTGACCGACAGTCTTTTTCTGTGTTTCTGTATTGCCTCAGCAGTATGATCCTTACTGAAAAACCTAATTGCCAAACACAGTCCTAATCTGTGCCCCCCTCCCCTGAGTCACCTTGCACCAACTCAAAGCTGTAGAGGGAAAGCTTTGAGCAACCTCCTGACTTCTGTATTATGTATTTCAACTCTTCTCCATGCTTGCAAGCATTTCATAAATATCATATTCAATGTTTTTACACTGGTGTTGAGAAATCTCTTTCTGTGCGGTTTGCATTTTTAATTATTTCTCATATTGCATTTTCAAAAAAAAGAAAGAAAGGGGAGTACCATGTAGAAAAATATGGTTAGATAAATTTCACTAAATGTTATAGGTGTAAAATCAGGAAAAGTGAGTGTTTAAAACAGAGTGGGCGGCAGCATGTGTTCACATTATGTACATTTCAAAAAGGAATGAGAGATGAAGAAGAGAAAATGAGTGGGTGTATTTGTGTTTGTGGTTCGGTATTTTGCAGGGACATTTTAAAAGCTATATATAATGAGTTATAGTTTGACATTACAAAGAGAGCTCTATGTGTATCCATTTGTATTGTGTGTTCGTGTTTCACTAAAGGTTTTGTAGGATATATGCAGTCAATGTTCTAGCTGTGGTTTTAGTCCCAGATTCAGGCTTCCCTCCACATTTGTGTTAGCATCGTTTCCCAGTATCACACCCAAAAGGCTTTATCGCATGTTAAATATAGAATCATTTCACAAGGAGAGGAAAGGCAAATTTATTTGTATAGCACATTTCAACAACAAGGCAATCCTCTCAAAAGTCCTTCACATAAGACCATCCAAACATCAAGCAAAAAAACAATTAAGTAAAAACAGACATTAAAACAATAATAAAGGTTGCAGTGCAGTTTATGACGTTGACAGTAAAAAGCTTCCGCTGTCATACCAGTAACAACATATGCTGGGACGCCTAGAACTTTTCTGTGTCCTGTCCGAGCAGAAATTACAAGATTGGTTAAGTAAATTTTTCAGTTAATTCTGGAGCTACTAAAGGTTTTGTGCAACATTATTTTCAGACATTGCTAGCGTCTGTTGTGTCTTCTGCTGAGAGCTCCACATCTTCTCACATAGGGGGCTGATAAGGAGGGTGTAAGGGCCGTCCCTGGTAGCGGATCTTATCTGAGGGGACCTGTATTGACAAACTCTCTAAAAACCACTGCACAGCGTCTGAGGCACGAACTCAAAACAGAGATAGTGTCACGGGGTGACGGCCAAAACAAAGGTGGGACTCAAACGCAGGATTCTGAGGATAAAAAAGATTTTATTTTCGGCAGCAAATGGATTTAAATAGGCAGCGCTGAATCCGTGGCCGGGGGAGACGCTGGAGAAACAGGCAGGCACAAGGGTCCGGGCAGCAGGAGCAATACAATTGATGGAAGCCACACTGGAGGGAGAGGCAGTGATCCGGCTGGCTGGAGGGGGTTCTCCCGAGCCGCGTAGGGCGAGAGGGGAAGCCAGGGAATCTGTCAGGCTCAGGTGGATGCAGGCTGGGACGAGGCTGAAACGCGGGGACAAGGTCAATGCACAAAACCTCTTTCTTCGAAAATCAATCTCTGGTGAGAGCTAGCCAAGTTACCACTAGGAGGGCAAAACGATCAGGCGAAGACTGGTGCTCCTGCTGCTCCTTAAGAAGGGTTCCTGACGATTGTATATGCAGGACAGGTGTGACAGCAGGCAGCCACCAGACTCCGCCCAGGTAACTGGGAAAACCTGCTCGCCCTGCCTGAAACACACCTCCAAGCCAAGTCAGATCATGACAGATAGTGTACGGAGACGTCTGCACAACTGACAGAACTGGCAGGGATTGTGTAGGGACATGTTTCTTCCATCTCTTGGACCTCAGCAACCAGTGACTGCAACCTCTCCAACCAAATCACAGTTTGATATGGAGGAAAAAATACAGCAAAAGGATGTCCAAAAGTATTTCAGGGGGCAAAAAGCTGAAAATGGACTTCAAAATCTAGTTGTGCGTGAGTTTGAGCCGGCGGATAAACAGGAAGTGCAGCAACTTTTTCACGATGGGATGATGGAAATGGTGGCCGACACTGCTTTCAGAGGATTGAGACACCACCCAGAGAGCCTCCTGCTGTATGCAGCGATGACCGGTGAGATTATTGTGTGAATTACATTTTCTGCTATTGGTTCGGCAGTTTGGAAGAAGAACGTGTCGGGTGGTAGATGCAAACATACTAGTATGATGTATTTCAATCTTTCAGACAGTATTTTTTTCACAGTATTATATTATGTTGCTTTGTTCTGTTTTGCACTCTGTAGGCTTTTACAGCCACAGAAAAAGTCGGATGTGCTACCACTTAATATTTGCTTCACATTCATGTCTTCTCCATCTTTCCTTCTGCAGTTCTATGTTTTGTCATCACCGTGTGTTGGTGGGTGATTGTACTCCTTCCTCTCATTTTACTGTATGGGCGCTACTTCTACAGCAGACGCATGATCCATCGTTACCTGGAGCAGGCCAGCAGCAGAGACATGGGAGACATCCAAGGGTTCTACATGAAATCAAGTATATCATTTTATAATGTGTAATGTGAAGTATTAACTATTTCTAACTTACTGTTATGGTGCATATGGTAGAATTGGGGCAAAAGAAAATTCCTCCAAATTTTGTCGTCTCTTTCTCGCTGAGATTCAGCATTCTAAATGGCGTCTTAATATATCAATAAGGATTGTGACGTATTAAACCCAAAATATAGACTAATGCTTTTGTTAATGAAAGAGTTAAAGGTGTGTGAAATAACGACACAGACACTTATTAATGCTTGTCCCCGGTAAAAAAACTAAAACTGTTCTCGTCTCCTGATTCTTGTAATTGTAACAATACACTGATATTAATTTCATCAGTTTCATCGGTTATTACTTTGAAAAGTTGTGCTTTGAAATATAACCTTTGCATTCTATAAAAGTGAATAATTAAATGTAAGAGTGTAGCTTGCAACCTTGAACAAGAAGGCTTTGAGCTATAAAAAAAAACAAAAACATTTTTTTTACTCAAACGATTTTCCTTTCTCACATCCTTTAACGTTGTGACCTTGCCCTCCGCTTCAGATTCCCGTCTGTGGGTGGCCGTGCTGCGGGGCAAAGTGGTGGGCATCGTTGCAGCGGTCGGCCAGCAGAAGCCGGGAGGCCCTGTTGAGCTGCGGCGGATGTCCGTCGACCGGAGCTGTCGGCGGTGTGGAATCGGCCTGGCGCTGGGACGAAAGGTCGTGGAGTTCGCTGTCGCTCACAAATATCGCTCCGTTGTCCTCGGAACCACGTCGTACACGTCCCCGGCCCACCAACTCTACCGGCGTCTGGGCTTCCGCTTGGTGGGGTTCACTGACGGGTACGTCACTCCCGGGGTGAGGCGTGGCCTCCCGGAAGGGATCTTCTATCGGGTCCGTCATCATCACTACAAACTCGATGTGCAAAGGTGACAAGATCACTGAAAATGGACAGCTGTGAGTTAGTGGGAGTGAGGACAGCTAAACAAGATTTAAATATATGTGAAAAATTACGATGGGGGACGTTATTATTTTTATCTTTGTATAATGTGTATCTTTTTATTCTATTTTCTTCCCTGTACATGCTGCTGTGATAACTAAATTTCCGTCTTGAGGGATCAATAAAGTATCTATCTATCTATCTATCTATCTATCTATCTATCTATCTATCTATCTATCTATATGCTTATTTCAATCTTAAAGCACCACCAAACTTGTTTGGTTCAGTGTGGTTGGCTTTGACAATACAGACAATAATTAATCTCCATCTCATGCCAGCATTCCACTGCAGTTTTTTGTTGTTTTTTAACATGGCAACAATCTGTCTTCCTCTTAATAGGGCAGTGTGTAGGACTTTGGTAAGCCAATGAAAACATAACTATCGCTACTGTCAGGTCATTATGTTTTAATGAAAAAAGTTATGAATAACATATTCCCTTCCTGACAAATAATCCCTCAAAATACTGCACACTGTTGCTTTGCTCGTATTCATAAAGCCTGTAAGGGCCTTGACTCTCTTTATGCAGCATCACATCAATGCTTTCTCTATGCTTCTTCTTCATGATCCTCTGTCTGGGCCTCTTGAGGGAGATATGAAATCATCTTGAAAACACAACTGGTCATTTGAGATAATAGGAGGGTGTGGCAGGTGATCCCAGCTTGGTCAACTCCTCACTTCCTCTTAGTTTCTTTGCAGTTTACTCGCTCAGCATTACGATCCTCAAGAGTTGAGGGAGATGTTCTAGATTTTATTTATCCTTAAGTCCTTATAAAAGAATATGGCCATCCACACTCAAACTCAACTATTTGTACCCTAACAGCTGCTATAACTTAATTGAACCATTCAGTTCAGCTAAACCCTTTGCTTGCAGGTAAATAATAAAACAAGTGATTATGCAAACTAGCACCCTGTTATATGGACATCCATGACCTAACACCCCGAAAGAGATCCACTATCTTCTGTATGCACAGTATAACGCTGTTGATTGTGACGAGGACACGTGCAGCTTCATACTTGGTGTTCTAGTACAGCACTTGTAGTTATGAACCCTCTTTTTAATGTGACGGGGTACAAGAGAGCCACACACACACAGGGGAAGCTGGTGGTTGGTTATTGATAGTTGCTGATAGAATCTGATTTTTTGCTATTGAGCAAAAATTAATAGTGCCAGGAAATAGCAATAGTTTTTGCAGAACAGATGAATTTAATAAAGATGTTTCTTATTTTTCTCATGAATTTTATGAAACCTAAAAATTGCATTTAATGTGGGTACACATGCTGCCACTGTGGTCCAGAGTGTTCTGAGGGGTAGATTTCTGGAAGGACAGGAGAACAAGGCAACATTTGCACACTGTGCATCCTCAGTGCATCTCTGGATTTACTGGCAGTGACCATCGTAATGAGTTATGTTCAAGGTGGTGTGCGTCATAGAGACACTCCTGTTTAGCTGTATTGTGTACAGCTTGTGACGTTCGCACAGGAACGTGACTAAGCAGAGCTGTTGAATGGACGCATTACAGCTTTTGAAATGGTACCTCCTGCTTGCATTGTTCCAGAGCGATCCATCACCATCGTTTTGTTTTGATCTACAGAAATGAGCTTACTGTACCAAGCATCTGTATAATCAGTCACAAGCACTCATTAACATACATTTCTGCAAGGATCAATGTCAATCATAATTTCCATAGTTGTAATACAATATAACCTTTTTAATGCCTAATAATTAATGTATTAAAGTGTGATATTAAGTCAAGTAATCGTTGCTTTAAATAAATTGAATGATTAGATTATAACGCATAAAAAGAGTATGCTTATAATGCATTATAGACATGGTCTCCAGTGTTGCCCAAAATACACATGGTGTTACCATAATGATAATGCAATGAGCTTAAGAGTGCACATAAAATTAATTTTCTATCCCATTGCACAACGTTTTCCTAATAATAATTTAGGCTGGGACAACTTGAGTAACCAAACGGGTTTCAACAGTATGATGATGTGAAAACGGCATGTTCAGCAGATTTGTGAAATCCGTACTTCCTCCTATATGTTCATGTCAGCATGTGCTTCATGTTGTGAAATTGGCAAATAGTTGCTGTGGGTCAATGTGGATCAGGCCAATTGAATTGCTTTATTTTACAGGATCTCACATCTCACCTGCTGCTCACCTGAACAGTTTCTTCCCGTCGGCAGTCGGGCTCATCAACAGAGCCCGGTCCCCCACTGCCTGACTATAACACTCCACCGGTCACTCCCGTTCACACTGCACATGCCACTTTAACTGCAATTCACCACTTTGTCACTTGTCACTTTGTCTCTTGTCTGTTACTTGTTCGTTAGTGCACTTTATGCTTAATATTTTGCTTTTTAACTTTTTAATATCTAAATTTTTTTAACTTTATTCCCTTGTTTTTTACTAACCCATAGCCTTAGCCTTATTCTACTAACCCATTGCATTAGCATTCCATTCCACTTTATTTTATTACTTGTGCACTGTTGTCTTGTCTGTCTACTGTCGCGCACTAACCGCCAAGACAAATTCCTTGTATGTTTGACATATTTTGGCTAATAAATGTTAGCTGTTGATGCCGACACCCACCAACTGATCACACTCACCAGTTCCTTTTGTCTGCTTTATAGTGTGTTTATGGTGTTTATAGTGTTGATCAATCTTGGAGTCCCTACAGAGTTTAATCAACCCTGTGGGGTTGGACCTTCATCTGACCTTTCCGACCAACTTCCCAGCAAAAAAGTGAAAGGAGAACCTCCCTCCGCTTGCTGACCAGCCCTCATTTTCTTCCCCGCTAAAGACGAGTGCAAAGAAACCGCACGGGGATTTAAAGTCAGTGTGGATCTCATTGAAGCATAAGTGTGACCTGTTTGCAGGGTGAAGCTGCTGGAAGTCAGTTTAGTTTAGTTTAGGTTTTGCTCTCCACAATTTCCTTCATATTTCCAATTCTTTCACTGCGTCATCATCTGCACAAACTGGGGTAAGGTTTCCCTTTTGTTCATACATTCATAGTATAAATGGTTTGTATTTATAATTATTCATGTCCCACTACAAAAAAAACTACACAATATTTTCAGTTGTTCCAACTTGTTAAAGGTTAAGCAAGGTCCAAATGATCCTTTTAATGTCAAGATTGGCATTTACTGACTGAAATAATCGAAAGGGCACAGATTATTTGGAAAATCTTTGGGAAAAATCCCTTTGTTTCAAATGTTAATTCCACTGTTTGTTTGTTTTATTTGACTAGTTTAGACGCGGTTGTGAATCGGATGCAAAGATGAGTGTTGAGTACCGCTCTTCTACCGTGACAAACATGGACACTGATAACAGTAAAGTTGGCTATTGCCAACTTTTAGGAGATGGCAGCAAGTTCCGGTATTCAGGTAAATAATGACAAAATACATAATATAAAAGAGAGAAAACGCTTTTTAAACGAGTTTTAAATCCTGTTTTTTTTGCACACTGATTTTGATTCACAGCCAACAACTTATTTATTTTTAGTTCTGCAACACTAAAATTATTAAGCTTATCAAATGTATTAGTTGAAAGTGTATTTTAAGTCAGCTAATTTAGAGCAGCATTACGGTACATTTGGAGTCATATTTTTTAACAGCTAGCAGTTGTAACTGCCAGGTGGATTTTAACAAAGCACTTAGTGGAAAGTGTTGAAAATGAACAAGCGAGCTACTTTGACATGATTAGAACTACCATGAAACAGCATCTATCAGTGATGTGGCGTAGTGTTTATATTTAGCAATATATTGAGTCTATGTGGGCAAAGTTGCCAATCACTCAGCAGGGCTTATTAATATAAGATTCATAGAATAGTCGCATTATTATATTTCAAATTTGGCAATTTGAATGTAGTTGTTAAGATAAACCAATGGAAGTCTTCTTTTGTGCGATCACTTTTTTAGTCCTTTGCTGTATAAAAAAATCAATTATGTATATTTGTAAAATAATGAAGGTCTGCCCTTTGGCTTGGGTTAAAGTTTTGTATAGTATTCTGTAACACCACTAGATATTGTAGTACAGTTGAAACAAATTTAACGTGTTTTTTGTTTCTGTCTTTCAGTTCATGCATTAAGAAACAGCCCCTTCAGGGCCGCTACAGTTGGTCTTGGGCTGCTGTGTGTTCTCCTGTTGGCTGGGGTCATAGGTCAGAGTGTCCACTGTGAGCCTTTCTCTTTATTCTCACTGTCAAATAGCCTGATGTTTGATGTTGATGTCATTGTAAAATCCCTGATTTACCGATATCTCCCATCTCCCACAGATCAAAATGTAAAGCAAGACGATCAAAACAACCTAAAATCTGCGAGTGACGAGAAAGAGAAACTACAGGAGAACTTAAAGATGCTGCAAATGGAAAAAAAAACACTTCAGACGAGCCGTGATGAGTACGAGCAAAAAAACACTTTCTTGACAAAAAAGAGAGAACTGATACAGACCAACAACAATTTACTGAAGGAGGAAACAAACAAACTTAAAACTAGCCAAAGCCAGTTGCAGGCCAGTAACGCCGCTTTCAGCAAAGAGATAGAAGAGCTGAAAGCCAGTAAAAACCAGTCAGAGACTAAAATCAATGACTTGTCTGCTGCCAAAGCCTATTTACAAAAGCAATATGATTCAGCAATCAAACTCAAAAATGAAGCACTGACCAGCCACGACTCACTGACCAAAGAAAGGAACAATTTACAGAACCAATTAAATAATGTAACCAGATTAAAAGATCGCCTGCACTTGAGTTACAGTAACTTGGTTCAGAAGGTGGAGCATTTGCAGGACAGATACAACTTCTCTAACAGTGAAAAGGAGAAGATAGAAAGCCATCACCAAAACCTGACCATATCAAAAGACACTCTGCAGGCCTCTTACGACCTGCTGGTGAAAGCCGCCGATGAGCTGCGTGCTTCTCACACCTCCTTGGTTCAGGAAAAAAATGATCTGGAGATCAGTTGCAAAAATTTACGAGCGGAAAGAGACCTGTTGGAGGTGAAAAATCACAACCTGACTATTGACATGGGCGCGATACAGGTGGATGTTGACAAACTGAAGAAAATCACCCCAGGTAAGATGAAGGAATTTAGACAAACAATACACATGGGACATGTTTCAAAAATGTTTCTCCTCTTGTAAAATGCATTTGGCCTTCTTGTTAAAATCTTGCTGGAAAAAGCTGAAAGGTCCAGTGCCATCCAATGAAAAACCGCTAAAAACAAACTCCACCATAATTGTCCTCAAAATCAATACACACTTTGCATTTGCAGCGAGGAAGTGCTCCAGTGGCTGGACAGGCTTTCAGTACAGCTGCTACTTCACCTCTTCTGGCAAAAGCAACTGGACCGCGGCCAGAGAATACTGTCAAAACAAAGCCGCCGACCTGGCTATCGTAAAAAGTCAAGACGAAATGGTTTGTTTAGCTGTTTGTATTTGTCTGAATCTGCATGACTGAAAGTGTCACCATACAAATTGTCATAGAGGATCAGTTCAAGTCGGTTGTGATGCCCTCCTCGTAGGTGAAGGACGGCGGCCTAACCATAAAACAACAGCCGACACCCAAAATGCATTTAAACAGTTTTAATAAGGATGCCTGTAATGTTACAATGTTACACTCCTGTTACTCTCCTGCCTGCTGCTCTTCTTCTCAGAACCTGACAAGGAAACATATATATATATATATATATATATATATATATATATATATATAAAATGCACAAACACCCCTTAGTGGTGAGATGGCGACACCTGCTGGCTGTTATTGTCATTGCATATCGTACATTAGGGTAGGATAAACTAGGAGTTTGCCACTAATAATGAATATATCTATTTCACAGTTGCAATTTAAATCCCCACCAATAAACCCTGCACACTTTAACAATTGATCAATTGGGCATGTTTAATGTACTATGCAGCTCGTAGCGATTAGGACAGAAAAAATATCATCATTCTCATTTTACAGCTCGCCTCTGCTCCACAATGATTTTGAGCTTATATTTGCAAATTGTTTTGATTCTAAAAACTACTAGAACAGGTTGTTGAAGCTGCATCGCGTGCTTTTTTCGGCTTATCTGGTGCAGTGGATTTATTTGTAAGTACAGTACTGACATAACCTTGCATTTTGTAATCACAAACTCAGTCTTTTGGCCACCCGAAAATCTCCAATGTCACCTCTTTTCATTTAAAAGAAACTTCTGCAATAATGTTATTTTCACGTCTCTTCCTTCATAGCTCTTCGTCAACGGCCTGTATTCAAATGAAAAAGAGGTCTGGATTGGATTAACTGATGGAGGAGTAGAGGGAGAGTGGAAATGGGTAGATGGGACACCATTGACCACCACGTAAGAAACTGCTCATATCTCCTGGAACCCATGAGGACAAGATCGATTAGTATTTATTCTTCTTTTTGATGTCTCTCTGCGTCCTGCAGGTTCTGGGGCAAAGATCAGCCCAACAGCTTTGACGGGAGGAACCAGGACTGTGTGGAATTCTGGCACAGAACGGATGGGAGGGGCACCTGGAATGATGAGAATTGTAACATAAAACAACAGTTCATCTGTGAGAAGTAGTTTCCCTGTCTGCCTATAGTTGTGCTGGCCACTGTTCAATGGTCCTTATGTAAGATAACACATGTTATGTGATCAATTATTACCCAATGAAAGTGATGAGTAATTGTAAACTGAAATTTAGTGGAGGACGTATTTTATGCTGGTGCAAACGGTCGTGTTTAGGGAGCTAAGATTTCCATTATATTTACATGCTGTTGAAACAATTATGTGAGTTTGCTTTACAATGTGTCCTCTTGCACCGTACGATGTTGTAGTTTGTGTTTCGTTTTGGCTTCCAGTACAGAGAGTATTAAGGTTCACACATAATCCTACACACTTTGCATCTATATTTTATGTAAATCAGCGTTGTACAGTTTAAATAAAGTAATTCACTTTGTGCCACTAGTTCAATGAATCACACAAATACTTTACTGGGAGTTTGTTAATATGCATGAGCAATTTGGACACCTGAAGCTATAATTATAAGAAGGACGATATATGTTAAAAAATTTTTTTTATAAAACTTTAGTTCAAAATGTGTTGACAGTTGAAGGTCAAATCAAACCAAACCTGCACTGATCAATTAACTCAATAATTAAATGTGCTTAATATCCCATTTTAGTTACTGTCTGTTTATAAATATACTTTTCTAAGACACTATTTAATGTTAAAATAACTGCTCTCTTCATCGGTGATGAATAAATTACTTAAAGATGAAAGTCAGTTATTAAGGGCCCATAAATCAAGCTCTACCCACCCCGGCTTCTTTTTGGGGATATTTTGTAGCTGAACTCTATAATTTTGTTGTTGCATAAAACGAGGAGCCAGCGGAGGCAGTCTAAATCCCCTCAATGTGCCGTTGGGTTGGGAAACAAGCTAGCGGCTCTGTTAGATAACTCCCCAGAGACACAGTAAACATCCTAATGTGTTCTGAAAGGCTGAGTAGAGCTCTTTGTAATAAGTGAACTGAACCGAACTTCTTTTTGTGTGTAGATAACAAGCAAAATAAAACAGTGTCTTTGTGTTGATTCACAGAACCTGGTCTTGTGGAAGATCCCACTGTGACGGCAAGCCCACAGACAATAAACATGAAAACACGTTCACGTAAAGTCACTTCCTGAGGCCTTTTTGACAAAACCTTTGATGTTGAATGCAAATGCAATAAGTTTAAAAATGCAAAATAAATGGGAGCAAAATTGCCAAAAGTGTCAATGGCAAATCTGTCCGACAAAGCTCACTGGTTTGGCCCCTTGGCAGATGATGATAGTGATGAATACCACAGCATGTGAATGAATCATATGGTGAAAATTATATTTCTCGGAACAAATATCTAGCATCCCCAAATTCAGAGAAGGACTACTGCCTCTCCAGGTAAACATACGTATAAGAAGAAGTTGGATCATTTCCCAAAGGATCATGCGGGAGAGGGAAGTTCATCCTGCTCATCAATGCTGCAGTGGTCAATAAAGGTGTCGTGATCGTCAACACAGAGGCTCTGAAACCGCATCAGATGGTTCGTGATGGTCATAAACTCGACAAGGCGGCAGCGAGCCTCACTGTGGGACTCTCCAGGGACAAGCCCAGAGAGGGAGACGTCGTCAGGGCTGCGCTTCACGCGGTTTCATGTGATTGGAGGAGGAAGCGACCAAGAAGCTAATGCGCACTAGCTACGCCCAACAGGTTGTATTAAGAAAGAAGGGAGGTAAAGAGTTGGTGAAGATGGTCAACATCACTTCAGGTGTGACGGAGTTCGATCCAATTTTGTCCCAGAGATGCAATCAAGGTCAATTTGGGTAAGAAATAGTACAGGAAGGTGTTTTTGGTCAATAAAAAGAAGTTTATTTTTATTTGTTATTATTTACTTTTTTGTTAATCTACAATGCATTTTTAAAAGATCTGACCTGTTAAAGACTGTACAATTAAAACATGAAATATGTGCATATGGTTGCATGAGATGAAACATGAACCTTGAGACAGATTGTTGATACATTTTCACCCGAATAGGAAAACAGAACATAATGTTTATATATATGTAGCGGAAATCAGAAATCCACTCCAGCTATTTGAGACTAGAAATCACAGCATCTGATATCATTTAATTAGCTAGCACTAGCTGAAATTCATGGTAAAGGTCATTTCTAATGATTAAGTCTATACAATTATAGGTCTCTTTTGCTATCAACACTACAATAATATCCCACAATCACAGTCCTAATGGTTAAATTCAAGTTTGAAGTTATTAAAAATTTCCACCAAACTCCAAATGTAAGTCAGGTAATATAGTAAACTGCATATGTAAAGGTTAAATCCCCAAATAACACAAAAATACATTTTTGGAAGTTAAACTATTGCTGGTTTGGGATTTTAATTTCAAATATATTCAAGTTTAATTACACCTCTAAAGAGAAGCTTTGGTTAAACAATCCCCTTGCAGACACTTCCGTCTTTAATCTCTCATTACATTAATGCATTCACACAACAGTAGCACATTAAAGGGATTTTCTTATACTTGAGAAATGGTGGAAGTAAAAGAAAAAACTACAAACACCAATAAGTCTTGGAACATCAAGAAGAATTACAAGAACATTAACAGTGTGCAGTCTGGTCCACGTTGTGTTTAGTGCAGCTGAGTGAGTTTGGTGAAAAGTCAGCGAGACATCATCCGCACAAACTCTGTGGAAAGAAAAGATGTGATGTCAATACTTTTACTTTCTTCCATAACGGTAAGCTTGATTAAACTGCCACTCTGTTACCTTTTTGTTTTTCTCCCCTCAATTTGCTCACAAAACGCATCACCCACTCACCTTCAAAGTCCACCTCTCCGTCCCCGTTGAGGTCAACGTCTCGCAGGACCTCGTCCATCTCGCGGTGGTTCAGCTGCTGCCCCATTAGCTTCTTCATGGCTTCTCTCAGCTCTCCAAGGCTGATTTGACCATCACCATCAGAGTCAAACTGGGGAACAAAGTCATTTGAGAAAGATTCCTTGAAAGCACATGAAAAGGTTAGGTGGTGTCTTATTTGGCTGTTAGTTGATAAATCACGCTGCATACCTCTTTGAAGGCATCCCTCAGCTCCTTGACTCCAATCATGTCTGCAGTCTCAGCGAGCATCTTAGGACCCATCAGATCAACAAAGTCCTCAAAATCCACTCTGCCGCCACCTGAATGAGAAGTAAACACAGAAAGCAGCGTTAGATGATTGTTATGTTTCTTTACCAAGCCAGCAAATGAATGACCGGATCGGTAGGTCAGCGATTGCAGCTCACTTACAGATCTGCTGGCTGAGTTCTATCAATTCCATTTCTGTCGGCATGTATCCCATAGTCCTCATGCACTCGCCCAGGTCCTTGCAGCTGATGAAGCCGTCCTTGTCTTTGTCAAACTCCCTGAAGGCCTCACGCAGCTCTGCAGGAACCATTTGTGAAAAACAGTAAATAAATGTAAGAAAGACAGAGGTATTGCAGTTACAATGGGGTTGTTATTTTTGCTCAATGGCATTCAAAGACCTTTATAACAGCTGCCTTGTTTGAAAGTCGCACCCTGGTATGTTTTATTGCGTGTTAAGTCTAGTAATACAGTGCCAGTCAAAGGTTTTCTCATTGAATTAAATAAGAAAAAGTGTCCAAACTTTTGACTGGCATTGTGTATTACTGATTATACTGACAGTCCACATATTAGATTATCTATCAGATGTTCGGTTTAAAGCCGCATGTAACAGTGCTTTAAATTCTGAACGACATTCATTTGAACTATTTTCATTCTTGTTTTTACGTAAACAAATTTCAATGATTCATTCCACTCAGAACACATATTACGTTCTTTTGAATGCAAAGTCCCACCATGAGGAATATGAGGCACTCCAGACTTAAACAGTGCTTCTATCGTCCTTATTCTCTTTGAATACTAATCCTATAAAAACATCTTCTTGTTTGCATACTGACATTCAATTGTTTCAAAATCGGACATTAAGAGTCAAACTAAATTTTTTTAAGTCCAACAGAAAGTCTGAGGTTTGGAAGGAAGAAAGTCATTCAGAAAAAAAAGTCAAGGGAATGATTATGATGATGATGATGGAGTGAGAAAAGTAGTAAAGATTTTGGATTGAGGTTTATAACATCTCTGTACCCTCCATCTCCTCTGGTCGTAGATCTCTGTCCTGCAGTGGTGCGCATAGAAGACAGGAGAGAAATGCAGAGTCAGGTAAACACATACACCTTCAATCTCGTAATAATAATTATAGCGTGCCAGCTCGTTGTGTTTTCTTTGCTCGTGTGAAGCACTTCTGTTCCCTGTTCAAATGCCTGAGCAGAGATACCACCGCTGGATTATTTGCGTTTTTATCTTAGTGACCCAAGTAACCTTTTTAGTCGATCTGCTACACAAGCTTGTGTCCAATCTCTGGTGGAGAAGCTTAGAGGTCTGCTTTTCATATGTTTTCTGCATGATTCAACAGAAATGAGGCCTGCACAACTGTCCGCACAAATACGTGCAACAAAGCTGATCAGATGGCACTTGCAAAATGGTTCTCAGATAAATTCATTTATTAATTGTAATTAGCCTGTTGTGGCAAGGACAAAAGGTAATTCCAGGATACGTTCAGCAGCAGGAATAATACAGGCCCGGATTAGAGGATGCAGAGAGAACAGTGGCAGAGAGATTACAGCTGTAAATTGTATTACAAATCACAGAGGCTTAATGGTTTTTCAATTCCCTATTCACAATTTTTTTCATCTGCATCTGCACTGCTATTCATCAGGGACTTGATTAACCAACATTTACACATCGGTAGAGATTGAACATTCTGCAAATACACCACATACCAATTATTATATTTTGCTAAGATGACTGGTAAACAATGTTTTCCTTGTTGTTCACATGTTTTGTAGTTTTCGGCTTTAGTCCCAAGCCACTAATACCACTCAGTGCTTAAGAAAATGACCCAAATGTTAAGGTTTGTGAAATAAAACCTTTTGGCACTACACAGCTGGGTTTCTGGATTGATGCAAGCAACGTCTAAAAATGATCATCAACAACAAGATATTTAATGACATTTTTTGCCAATGTCTGCACATCTAAATACTTTACTTTAAATGAAGCTTTGTGAAGCTGTACAAAATGCACATTTTTGAATAAATTCAGCATGCTATTATTCCTGACAATAACAGTATTTACCTGCTCACCTTATTAACTGTTATACTGTAGGTGTCGGTTATAGACACATAATCATAAACCACAGCTGAATTTCATTAGCTTTTGTGGGTATTTGATCATAAATGAAAGTATATTGGACACATATTCACTCCCCTTTTAGCTCTGTTCTTGGTGTCTACTAACATCTGACCCATTTACTGTTAAAGGCTCCGCAAATGAGTCAGACGAGGAGCGCAAAAACAACCATTAGTTAAAAGTCGCTGTAATACTCGATAGAGCTGCAATAGAGCTAACATGGAGCTGAGGGGAGATCTGCAGTCAGGTGGTAATTCCCTGTGCGTGTGGGATGAGCGATCCCTTCCACGCGATATCATTGGGTCTGTTCAAGACGTCACAGGACTGTTTAAACTTTTCCATTCACCAAAGCCATACAGAAGTCAACTGAAAAATACAGTAGAATAATTTGGTCATGATTGATATAAATTCATCATGACGTAATAATAATAAGTAACGAGTCAGTATTGTTAGTTATTCTTTTCTTGACACCTGAGCCCAAGGTCATCCAACACTTCACGGGTCGGGTGCTTAAAAATCAGAGAAGCACCAGTGATCATAGACTTCCACCATAGACCTCCATCCTAATGGCTCTTTTCACTAAACAGTTAGAAAAACTGCAGCTTTCCATCGTTATAATGCAAGATTATTTACGTTCTTCCACTCCCCAAGAAACACTATATTACGCAACAAAGATCATCTAGCACAGTCGTGCAACCACTTAAACGCTACAGATGTTCTGGTGTGTTGCATAGGATTTCATGGGGATTGACACTCACAGGTGGGAATTTTCATTGGTGGAGAGTATGGAAAGGATGTGATGATACCGCGGTGGACTGATGGATGGCCACAACTTTACCACTGAAACGGATGGATAGAAATATTCATGAGAGAATTTGGCTTCGGTAGTTCTGTACTGTGTCTGTAGGCATGTGTGTGTGTGTGTGTGTGTGTGAATGTCATACATACAAGCTGGCTCTGTGCAAAGCCTCGTCTGAGGAAGATGCAAGCAGGCCCCACTAAGTTGTGCAGCATGTTGCAGTTCTTAACCAGAGCGCACAGCGGCTCATCAAAGTCCTGCTCGCTGCCTCCCTCCTCCTCATCATCCGTGTCCACATCACCTGCGCCACCGAGGCCCCCCAGCATGGCGGCAGCTAATGGGGTGCCACTTTGTTCTATAGGCAACTCCCCCTTCGAGGAGAGGAATGAACTAAATTAGGACCATTCATATTCCATTGCAACAAAACTGGCCAGTTCAAACCTACAAGTTTGCATATCAGCCACAGGTCAAAAACTATTTTTTATAATATTTTAAAATATAGATTAATTGGAAACAGAATCTCTCATGTTGCTTTTGTGTTATTTAAAGATCAATATCTCTTGGACATGGTCACATGTATAAGCATTATCTTATACATCTATCAGTTCAAACTCTTCGGTTTCTCTCACCTTAAAGGAATTAAATGGCACCTTACCTTCATCCTTTTACTGTTCTTTTTTGAAGCTTTGTTTATGTTTCCCATCTCCCTGCCCGCTTCTTCCCGTCGTCCCTCTTCCTGTCCCAAAACTTCTTCCCTGTTTCTCCTCCTTTTTTTTCTCTCTCTCTCTCTTTGATCAATTCTCAAATAAAAGTCCAAAATCCATAATCAATCCAGGGCATTCCATGTGGCGACGTCTTTCACACCCGGCGAGGAGAAGGCGAGTGTTTTCCGCTCGCACAACTACTCCTACAAGCGAAGAGGGACAATCCAGGATCCTACTGTGAGAGCGAGAGGCGCGGCAGGTACATGACTTTGCATCCAATCCCAGGCTCAACTCTGTTGGTGAGTGCTGTCATGGTGAGCTCTAAGAGGTGTAGTGTGATATTATGGAATAGCAGCAGGGTGCTGGAGGACGGAAGGGTGGGGTGGGAGAGCTGGGTCATATCTGGGCTGAAACAACCTCCTGCTGCCAGATTTTAGCTCTGATTGCATGAATCGACCACGTTCTCCCTCCCTTTCTATCTCTCTCACACACAAACACACTTTTATCCATCTATCTATCCATCAGCCTCGCTCACCAAGGGTGATCTCTTGAATTTGGCCCAACTTAATCTAATCCATGCCACCCAACTTCCTCTCTCTGTCCACCAAACATCGTGCTTGTGGCCTCAAAATGACTAGTTTGGAAGAGAGAGAGAGAGAGAGAGAGAGAGAGAGAGAGAGAGAGAGAGAGAGAGAGATAAAGGGGGGAGGGGATGATAGAATTATGGATGGAGAGTTGGCTGCCCATTTAATCTCTGGCATTTTAGATTAGAGTGAAAGAGTTATGTTTGACAGGCGATGGGAGTTCATGCTCGAAGTGTGTGTGTGTGTGGGGGGGGGGGGGGGGGGGGGGGGGAGGAATATTTATATTACTTTGGAGTACGAAACAAATCAATGTACCACATCAGCGCAGCAACATGGAACACGTCGTGAGATTGGCCTCACACAATGCCTATGACAAGTATTCACTTTTTTACTTTTGTTGCTTTTATACTCAAAATCTTGGACAATATAACAAAACGTCATTCGTCCCATCACGTCCCATCCCGCTGCCAGAAGACTGCTTCTAAGGGAGCAAAATGGACATTCTGTCAGCATCTGAAGAAAGTGCTGAAAACACCAAGTTTGTTTATCCCAGACCGGACCACCTGTTTGGAGGATCAGCAAACTGAGTCGCTGTAGCCTCCGACCAGAGGGTTTGTCAGCAGAGATGTCTGTTAGCGACAATGAAAATTGTCAATATTGGCTAACTTTTCCCATTACGGTCATCATTACAAACTTTAGTAAACATCAATGAGTTATAATATCTACTTTAGGGATGTAAAAATAACAAATAAAAGATAAACTCAGGTATCTTTTGGTAAAGAATTAGATTGAAAACAGATCCTATACTATGTCAACCACCCAATTCATCTTAGGTAAAATATGACATCCTATCAGACTTTATTAAAATTTGTTCTACATTCAGCATCCCTTCCCGTAACCTTTACTTCCATAAAAGATCAGTTAGCATTGAATTCCCAAATTGAAGAAGTAAAACTGAACCCTTTGTTAAATATTTCTAATCTTAAACTTCGAATGCAGGCATGTTTTTTTTATTGTAATCAGTGCACCTCGCTTTGATTTGTTACTTCGTACCTCCCTCTATTACACATTTGTATGCTGGTCACGTGGTGCTGGATGTGTGCCAGAGATTAGTAGCAGTAAGTGTAAAGCCAGTGCTGAGCTGGCAGCCGTAATCCTCTGGTCAATTTTGGGGAACTAACACATTTTTGGTGTCTCTCTATTTGTTCATGCCTTTCTATGTCACTGTTCCTGTTATGGTGATATTCAATTCTTTATGATTCCCTACATATTACAACTTCTCCATTTCGTTCAAAATTGTTGTCTCCTTTTTGGTGCAGATTTCTTGTCAGTTTTTGTTTTCTTCTGGTTTCAATGACAACTGGGCAGTAATCAATACTTATCTATAGTATCTTGCTTTTGTATCACCAGCAGAGTGCAGCAAAGCACAGGTTGCTCTTACAGCAAATGTGAATTTGTGCTCAACTGTAAGACCTATCCACCCCCGCTAGATGTCAGCCTCCTGCTTAGGTATTTAAAAAGGCGATCCATTATAGGACATTTTGTGCATTTCCTGTGTTTGGATAAGTCACTGTGAAGAAATGCAGCCCACAGGAGGGTAAGGGGCAGTAATGACATGTTGAATGGTCAAACCTCGTTTCATGGACGGATGGCACTATGGCTGAATCTCTGTCCCCTTCACAGACGCCATTCTCCAGCTAAGCCTGCAGTGTGACCTTTCAATGGTCTTGGAGGACTTCAAATAAAAAAATACACTGAAAAATTGATTATGTAGAGAGCATAAAGATTGATGAGATGATTTATAACAAAGGCTTCAGATCCACAGTGTTGTGGTTATATAATCGCATGTGCTTAGCCTACTGATCCAGCTGGACATCCACCAGATTAGCAAATGGAAGCCTCAGTCCTGTCATGTTTTTTTTCATTACTGCATTGTTTCCCACCCTATATTTTACGAGAATGCCTGGAAAGCTGTAGATTCATTTAATTGAAGTCTCCTTTCACAAATAGAAAAGGGAAAACAAACAGTAGCCACATGCATCTAAGTTGGAAAAACAAAATGAAAAAGCAACAACAATCAACCTTAATCAACAGCCCAACGTGAAAACAAAGCTTTCAGCTATGAAACCAAAAACACAGCAGCTGGGTGAGAATTATGCTCTATCCCCCGACAACAGTTAGTATACCAGATGCCTGAAAGGCAAAGATAAACTTCACGATGCAACCACACCAACGTCAGGATTTTGCATTTGATAGATGCATGTTGACAGAAAATGCATTGATCAGTTCAAATAAGGGCATTCCGGGTGAGCTATGAATGAAAATATGCATGTCTGCAAAGTGAGCCACAGCGAGTGTGATCAAAGGTGTCATATTAAGTGAATTAAGCTATTAAGTTCTGCCAAATATTTTTTTGAGTTGCCACATTGAAAGATAAAGTGTGGCAATAATGTGGGGATAAATGTGTTGTAAATACTGTAAATCATTTCAAATGAAAAAAACAGGGTTGCCTTGACAGCAAACTACGCAGAAGCTCTCTTTCACCGAACAATGACGCATTCTGCTGCGCAGAAATTAAACTTCAGTCAGACTGTGGCTCTGAACAAGTTTCAGCCAGCAGTGCTAATATTTCTCAACCAACTGGTAAAACTTGCATACAGCACAACGTATTTACCATAATTGCAGTGTCTAGCTGGGTAATAATCCTACATACTCTATGTGCAGTATACGGAGCCTGTTTGACATCAGACATCGCTTTCTCACCGTCCATGCACGTTGAACGTTGCACAACACATTGCTCAACACATTGCCTTCTTACCTTGAATGTGTGCTGATCTCTCTGGCAAATGAATGAAAACAGTATATCTGCTTAATTAATCTGTGAGTTGCACAATTAAGATGAGGCAAATTGAGCTGAGCCCTGCTGAGTTAATATTGGTTTGAGTTGTGACACTGAAAATAGAGACTTCAACTACTTGACACATTTAGGACACAACACAACAGGGAATTTAGCTTTTCACAAAATTCATTCTAATTTTCTAATATTAATTAGGTCGCAAGATGTAGAAGTCCAAGGCAGAATAGTTCATTAAATAAACAAGTGATGATAAAGTCAGTAGACAATTTCCATTAAACCGCACATCACATCACAGACTGCAACCACATATGGTTGTCTTAATTGTCCCACATTGCCTAATCTCATTTTCCCGCCCGTTTACACATCCCCAAAAGGAGGATAATGGCTATTCCATCCGTCCAAATTTTGGTTTATGCATTTAACTGTGACCTGAACGTTCCAAGAGGTTCCAAGGATTAGAGATTCTCTGCAAAAATAGGATGAAGGGATAAAGTAATCGCTGCAACGTTAGTACTGCATGTTGTTTATCTCCATCCAGGAGTATAGGAATCAAAGCTGGCCGTAAGACTGCCACCGAGGCATTGGTTCAGCTAATTTCAGTGGACAAGAGATTTATTAATCAAATGGATGAATATGAGTACATTTTACTCTACCACAAAACTGTGCCTCAAATATTGCAAAACCACAGTATAAGAATATGAAACATGTTTTCCCTGTGGTATTGCAGTATGAAATTCCAGCATAAAACATGCAACTTCAGTCAAAGTTCAGTAAAAGTATTAATTTTAAGGAATGACGAGAGTGGTAAATAGAGTGGAAATTGAATTTGTTAAAGTTCAAGGTTTTTTTTTTTTTTTTACTTCAAAGCATTGTTAAAGCTATATTACATTTATTCAGGACCAGATGATGAGGCTGCATTCTGACACTAGTTAACACTATGAGGACTCATAGTGATGCAGGGTTACCTAATCTGAGTAGGCTTCAATGTGTAAATTTGCAGAGCTTGTACAAACATGTCTTGTCTTTCTGACCTTGATATTACATTCTGCATTGAAAAAAAGTTCAATGGTGAAAACAGTGAGTAATTATGGATTCGTGGTCATGTAGTGTAGAGGGCGCAAAGGATGCTTTCCTTCAAAACACATTTGGGTAAAAAGGTTGAGGAGTGAAATAATCTAATCTGTTCATACACACTGTCACATCTTCAGCCTGTTCAACTACCATAGTGGACAAATGCAAGTAACATGCACATGTTGTACGGTTCATAGAATGACTAAAATGTTATGAAGACATCCATTGGCCAGATGTGTGACTGAAATGACAAAACAAGGCAAGTACACAATCACACACGGGTGAGAAAGAGTAGGATTCATTGTAAACTGAAAGGGTGAATGAGTGTTGGAGTAAACACACCCTAAGATTCAGAGTTAATAAGAACAGTTTTGAGCCTTTCATAAATGCTATTCTCTTGCCCTCTAAATTGATTGTAGTGTTTGATTTCAATCAAATAAAAAATATGTACTCTCAAAATGTTTTTCCATCTCTCATAGGAATATTCTCTTTGCCTTCTCAGCAGTAACTTAACAATAAGCCCATAAACCATGTTTTGCATTTTAAAGTTCAGAATCAAACGGACAAGTTAAAGTTCTGTAAAATATGGATTAGCATGCTGTCATGAGTCATAACTTTAAAAAGGATCGAATCTCTCACTGGCTGACTGGGCCGTTATTTACAGTGTGATGTGCTGTATCTGTCAAACACATTCATGCTTGTCAGCAGAAATAATCTGGCGCCTTAAGTGTGCTTTGAATGATGTTGTTTGAGTGACGTACGTCTAATCGACTCTTGTCCTCTTATTCATTTAAGCCGTAATCTCCCTTTACAACGCAATCATTCTTCCCTCTCTTTCCTTGTGACATCCAGGCATCGTTCAGCCACCTATTCCTTCTTTTCACTTTCTCATTATTTGCTCCATCTGTTGCAGAACGAATGACTCCTGTGAGAAATTACAACTGTACACGGTAAGAAAAGAAAAGCAGAAGCGAGGGAAGAACCCAGAAGCAGCAGCAGAGCTCTCTTTCTCTAAACTAGAGTGGATTCATTTATTGCCATTGTAAATAATTAGGGACTCGTTCACTTAGAGCTCCGCCCTCTTTTTGCTTTCTGCTTGGGAGCTGCCCGTTGATTTGAAGGTCCAGTACTCTGAGGACCTGTTGCTCCTAAATTACACACTGAACTTCCAGACCCACGCATTGACACATTCCTCAATTGAATTGATGATGTATGAAAAAAAGCGGGAATCCCAATTCATGGCTTGGTATGACTCCTAATGGATGTGTTTTTTTTTCATTTATACTATTATTCAACTTCAGACTCTTCTGTAAAAGTAAAGCAAAAG